AATCACATTCATTCCGCTCATTCTTTACGAGCAGTTCAAGTTCTTCTTCAACTTGTACTTCTTGCTAGTTGCGTTGTCACAGATCATTCCACAGCTACGAATTGGCTACTTGTCATCATACATTGTTCCCCTCGCATTCGTCCTCACCGTCACAATGATGAAGGAGGCAGGCGACGACATCGCTAGAAGAAAGAGAGATTCAGAGCAGAATAATGAGCGCTACGAGGTTCTCAATCGCCAATCTCCCATCACCCAAGACGTCGCAATGGTGCAGTCTAAGAACTTGAAAGTGGGCGACTTGGTGAGACTCCATAAGGACCGCAGGATACCGGCGGATATGATTTTGCTTCAGTCCTCCGATGCCAACGGCGAGGCATTCATCAAAACTGACCAGTTGGATGGTGAAACGGATTGGAAGCTAAGAGTAGCTTGCAGTCTAACTGACGCAATCACTGACATCAGCAAACTCGTCAACAACATTTCCCTCATTGTCGACAAGCCAACCAAATCTATTCACAAATTTGACGGCAAACTTATTTATCACCAAAGCTCAGGCAACAACAAGACCATACCCCTCACTGTTGACCAGACTTTATGGGCAAACACTGTTCTTGCATCCGGTACTGCCATTGGTGTCGTTGTATACACCGGCGTTGAGACCCGCCAGTCGATGAACACCACCATGTCTGGTGTTAAGACAGGGCTCTTAGAATTGGAAATCAACAGTTTGTCCAAAATCCTTTGCATAACGGTCTTTTTGTTGTCAGTGATTTTGGTTTTGGCTCACGGATTCCCATTGAAGAAAACCTGGTACATCGACATACTTCGATTCTTAATTCTTTTCTCGACCATCATCCCAGTGTCTCTTCGTGTGAATCTTGATTTGGCCAAATCAGTCTATGCATCTCATATTCAAAAGGACAGAGAAATACCCAATACCATTGTCCGGACGTCGACAATCCCGGAGGACTTGGGTAGGGTTGAATACCTTTTGAGCGACAAAACGGGCACATTGACTCAAAATGATATGGAAATGAAAAAGCTTCATCTTGGTTCGATCTGCTACGCCGGTGACACATTCGACATTGTTGCCGACTATGTCAGCAAGCTTTTGTTCAACGAGGGTTTAGGTGGATTCGGCTCGAAGAGAAAAGACATGTCAACCAAAGTATGTGAATTGGCACTTGTTCTTGCCTTGTGCCACAATGTGACACCCACAGAAGAAGACGGTGAGCTCACATACCAGGCCGCTTCGCCTGATGAAATTGCCATCGTGAGATTCTGTGAACAAGTGGGTCTCCGTCTCTTTAAACGTGACAGAAACAACATATCCTTGTTGCACCTTGCCACAGGTAAAGAGTTGAAGTTTGAGATCTTGTACAATTTTCCATTCAATTCCGACACTAAGAGAATGGGTATCATCGTCAAGGACTTGGAGCGTGATGAAATCACCTTCATGGAAAAAGGTGCCGACACAGTAATGGCAAATATTGTCATGGCAACCGAATGGCTTGACGAAGAGATCTCCAATATGGCAAGAGAAGGCTTGCGTACGCTTGTCATCGGTCGCAAGAGATTGAACGCTGGCTTGTACCAACTCTTCAGTAAGGATTATGAGGAGGCATCGTTGTTGATGACATCGAGGGATGCTCAAATGCAGCGTGTGGTGAGCAAGTACCTTGAAACTGACGTTGAATTACTTGGTATCACTGGTGTGGAAGACAAGCTCCAAAAGGACGTTAAGACCTCAATTGAGCTTTTGAGAAATGCTGGTATCAAAATTTGGATGTTAACAGGTGACAAAGTGGAAACAGCCAAGTGTGTGGCCATCAGTGCCAAATTGGTCGCCAGGGGTCAGTACGTGCATCAGATAACCAAGGTCCACATTGCGGATACGGCAATGAGCCAACTTGATTACCTCGTCAACAACTTCAACTCCTGTCTTCTTATCGATGGCGAATCAATTGCATTCTACATGAAACACTTTCGCCGTGAATTCATGGAGATAGCGCTTAGGCTCCCCGCAGTCATCGCATGCCGTTGTACTCCTCAGCAAAAGGCTGATATCGCATTGGCTATCAAGGAGCTTACTGGCAAAAGGGTATGCTGCATCGGTGATGGAGGAAATGACGTAAGCATGATCCAGTGTGCCGATGTAGGAGTCGGAATTGTTGGCAAGGAAGGCAAGCAGGCTTCGCTTTCAGCCGACTTTAGTATTGACCAATTCCACTTCTTGCTGAAACTTCTCCTTTGGCATGGCCGAAACTCGTACAAGAGATCGGCTAAACTTGGCCAATTTATTATCCACAGGGGTCTCATTATATCGGTTGCACAGGCCATTTACTCCATCTCATCTAAATTCGAACCCCTTGCATTGTATCAAGGGTGGCTTATGGTGGGATACAGTACATTGTACACTATGGCACCCGTATTTTCCCTTACTTTGGACCGGGACATCGATGAAAGGTTGACAAAGATGTACCCAGAATTATACAAGGAGCTCACGTTGGGCAAGTCATTGTCGTACAAGACCTTTTTCATGTGGGTGGCCATTTCATTATACCAAGGAGCCATCATCCAACTGTTGGCGCAAATATTTCACACGGTTGCACCCGAAAAGTTCCTTCCCATGGTCACCCTCTCTTTTGGAGCATTGATCTACAATGAGCTTATAATGGTTGGATTGACAATCAACACCTGGAACAAGACCATGGTGACTACCATTGTGGTGACGCTCATGATCTACATTGGACTGATTCCTTTCCTTTCCGATTACCTCGATCTAGACTACATTACGGATTTTTCCTATTACTGGCAGACGGTGGTGGTGTTGGCTGTGAGCTTGTTCCCAGTGTGGCTTACACAGACGGTGAACCGTAAGCTTAGACCACCAACGTATGCCAAGGTTCAGCAGGATTAGGTTCGGAATTAGAAGGAGCGAGGGGAAGAAACCCATTGTGCACAATTGAACTTTGTTCAGGGTCGCTGTCTGTGTTCAGGTTGTTTGGATGCGATAACGAATGACAGCCGAGAAGGCATAGATGAAAGCGATAAACCGGAGTCTGGCACAAGAGATCGAGGCCGAGCAGACAGGTTGCATGGGCGCGCATGAACGAGGAACGAGGCCAGATCAGGAGACTAAACGAAACCCAGGGAATGATGCCTGACCACATTGCCCAAAAAACACTAATTGGGTAATTCTGTTGATTTTGGCTCAGGACTGATGCTTCTTTTGGGGGCTTGAGGGAATCACATGACAACCGTGCAAAGTTGACGGTGTGTCGGTCAGGCATTCCGTTTGTGGAGGGGTGTCTACACTTCTATGCTGGATCATCATGGAACCCAAACTGGCAGTGAGCAAACAACAACAGGAGCTCAACACAGGCGGAGCCCGTTGCAGTGAGGCCGTTGCCAGAAGAAGGAATAAACAAACAGGCGAGCCCGAGCGCGTGTGTGCCGCGTGTGTTTTTTGCCAACAAAAACAAAAAATAACACGCGTGCCGCGTAGCAATGAAGCCAGGAAAGGGAATCCGACGTGAACCGATCAACGGTGATGTTGCGAAGCAGAATGGTATACGACGGTGTGCAGCCACAACAAACAACCGGCAGGCCAAGATGGCAGTGGCCGAGATCATAACTGTTGAGGGGGGTTAATTGCAGGAACAAGATAAAGGAGGCGGTTATCGGCCAGCTCTCCTTTTTGATCTGCCCTCACTAAATCGGAAATAGCCCCGCAGGCGCTTGGTTGCTAACTGTGGCTGCGAACAACACCCTGAGGTGATGAGGGAGGCTGCGAAACCATGGGCAAAAGGTTAGTGCTACATGAGGCATGGACTGCATGCGCGCCACAAAAGTGGCCCAATTCTGCCATTTTCCGATCGCACCACCTTTGCAAGTTTGATGCGCTTGACTAACCGCATACACAGTAGCTCTCCACCAGCCTTCCCGGTATAAATAGGACAGGTCTGCCCCAAGGGTAGTCTCACATCAGCTTCTTTTTTCCAAGCTTTCATTTTCAACAAATCCCCTTCAAGCCTTCGCTAGCCTGCCTCAACAGCGCTTCCTCCCCATTTAGCAGCCACAAATAATGCACACACTCAAAGCCGGTACTTCCATCCTCACCTTGGGCTATTTGGCTGTTTCCACCACTTTGCCTTTTATGTTGTCCTACAAGGAGACCAGAGTGAGTCCGACAAACTCCAAGGGTCACATCAACGCCAGAACGTTGTTTACCAAAATTTAATTCTGCTAATGCCTGGATGGTTTAATTAATACATGAGTTACGAACAGCATTGTAGTGCTACTGAAGACTCCTTTCTTGATGAAAAGGCAGCCAGTAAAACTCTGAAGCAGCTGCTATCTGTAAAATTTCTGATGATGGTTGCATTGTGGAGCCTGTGGAGATGCGTTAGTTCCCTTGCATAACCACCATAAATCCACGAATTGGGGACCGCCCAATTGTCACCTCAGGGGTGCTATAATGGTGCAATCTAGATGCAAATTTAATTTTTTATGCTTGAATAAGTTATAATGCAACAATCTGGAGTCAGTCCACCCACTCACAGCTCGATTTCGTGTAAAATATATCGATTGTGATCCCGGAACATGCTTGCGGCATTGTCTACATTCGGCAAATCCCGTAAGGATCACAAAATCCAATGACCTGCCATTGTCAGTGATAAGAAAGACCTCCTGATGATTGGAGTTTATGTTTTGTCTATAGAAAGGAGAATGTAGATCGAGGCTTCAAATTATGGCTTTAGGAAATTAAATAACCGAGGCTTCATACACAGTTGGTGGGGAATGAATGACTTTCAAAGACTCCTTCAACACAATTCCCCACTTGATTCAAGGAAACTACTATCGAGATATAAACGTGGGCCAACTCCTTCAGCATCGGTCACGCAAGCACCTCTCGTCAAATGCCACCCGCAAAACAGCCTCACTTCTCCCCACATCTTTTAAAAAAATATCACCGTTTATCCTTCTATTTACATGACCTACTTGACCCAGTGGGCGTTCTCAAGCAACTTCTTGGGCGAGGTGACTCCACTGGCAGTATCCAAGACAACCTGCTTCTGAGCAATCGAGTAGTCTCCATTGGCCATCAAGACCTGTGCTGCGTCCTTAACCACAGGCAAGAGCGGCTTTGGAGTAGCCTTGTCTGGAGTCACCTGCTGTGCCTGACCCTTGACGACTTCCTTCATTCTGTTTCCGAGCTGTTTGGCATCAACGTTCAAGTTCCAGTCCTTCTGCAAAAGGAAACGGTTTCCGTGGATGCCGGGAGCAACGCTGTCGATTATCAGCTTGGGCAACTTGTATGGGTAATGCGATTTGAGAAGAGCCTCCTTGGCGACAGCAGATACTCTAGCTGTTGGACTGGCCAATGAACTGGTGGCCTTACCGTAGAAAAAGGTGTCACCATTGACAACAGGCTTGTAAGGAAGAGGCTTGACCTCTTTAGTGGCAGCCTGAGATTCGATTTTAGTGGCCTTGATGTTATTGGCAAAACTTCTAGGTCTGCGGTCTCTTTGAGCACGACCAGCTCTTTTATCCTGTGGTCTGGCCTCTCTGGCGTTTCTCTGTCTTTGACCTTGGTTCTGGTTCTCTCTTGGTCTCTGAGGACCTCTGTTCTGGCCTGAACTCTTGAAGTTTCCCTCGTCCATCATGCTGAAAGCGTTCTTGCTCAAAGGGTGATCGCTGACGCTGAGCTTGACATTTCTGGTTGGCTTCTTAGCAAGAGTTGGCTGCTGCTTCTTGGAGAATTCGCCAGATTTCTTCTTTGGCTGGGTTTTCTGAGCTCCCTTGGCCTTTTCAGCGTTCTGCTTCTGGATCTCTCTGATCGAGTCGCTTCTGGCGGCGATGGCATCGACTCTTTTCATCAAATCCGACAAAAACAAAGCCAGGCCTTTCTGCTCCCCGGCAGTGGAGTACAGACGGACCCCATTTAGGATGGTTCTGGAGATCATGGCTTGTGCTGGGATTCTAATGGTGCACTGAATTTTCGCTTTTTTCAAGGTCCAGGGTGCACGGGTGTAGGTGGTGGTTGGTACCTGATTCTCAGACCTGGAGGGCCCCATATGGATGCAAACTAATCTTGTATAATGCACTAAAAGTGAAAGCCGGACATAAATTTTTGTGGTTTTGTTGGTGAGTGGTTTCTATGGATTCATTTTGTCAAACGGCTCACACCAACTTAACCAAAGAACCTAATAGCGTGGATGCAATGTGTGATTGTGAAGAAAGATTGTCCAATAAATGTGTGTAGTCGTAAGGAGCTGAAAGTTCAATTATCATTTCATGTAATTGTTCAGAATCTGTTGGGCGAAAATGGCAGTTAAGCCCTTAATGTTGCCTACCACTCGGCACTTTTCGCAGCCATTGAGATGTACCGGGGAAACCCGGCAGAAGTCAACGAGGAGGTCAAAAACAGTGCATTCATGAAATCATAGTACAATTATAAGTATCCAATTTTCGTGTACATTCTCACTTCTGAACAGCTCAATTGCTCGCAAATCCCGCTATTATGGCTATTTCAAACCTCCATCATTTGATGGCATAGCGCCATGGCTGCAGTCAGAAACCGAATGATCTATAACGCCGATCGTACGTTGCTGGGGGAGTTCCAACAGCTTTTTCAGGCCTACAAGCTAAAAGAATACTTCTTCACGTAGAACACAGCAAAGGGTCAGAATTGTGGTCAATGGCACCTCACTTGATTCTGCAACCTCAGTGGCCAATAGAATGAGGCGACTGGCTCGGCTCCACTGAGTACATCCATTGGTCTTTTCATCAAAGTTCACGAAATTCATTTTAAACATCGTCCAAGTTGAACAATGTCGACTTAAAGCCGATTGACAACACTCAAAACCATAAACATTACTAAAAGACTCTAACGTGTTGCTGTGTCCTGGACACTGGTTTTGGGTGCAAAAAGCAGTCTGGAAGTGACTCTCCAGCACCAACAGACGTCCCTGAACCCAGTGAGCAAAGTTCCATAAAACCGAGCCAACCAATTACTACAAAATCACCTTTCTTTAAAAAACCACCAAGTAAATGCTATCTTTCGTCGTGTTCGCCAGTCCACGACTCTTGTTTCACGTGCGGAGCCAGCACGGCACTCCTATTGGTCAATTGGCGGCCCACGCATAAACAAACCCCAAATACCCCCACTGAACTAATTATAAAATCAAAATTTACAAAACTTCACCGACTTATCCCACGAAATTGCCGTGCACTGGAGGTTGGGTGGAAATCTTGCCTGCATATGAGCCGCCAAAAGCAGTCGTGCCGTGGCCAGAACACCTTGAGTGAGGGCCAATCAAAACGGTCCCTCGAAGGCTCCGGCCGAATGTGGTTGAGAATTTCGCGGTGCGATTTTCTGCCAATATATACTGGCACAAATTTCCTCCCATAGTCTTTTTTTCTTCTTCCACCAGACTTTTCAATCTACACATCTGGAATCAAAAAAGTCGCCATGTTGTCAGCTCGTTCTGCTTTGCGTACCGCTGCCCGTGCAGCCTCTGTTTCTAGAATGCGTGTCGTATGTACCAATTGAAAACTTTCAGTGCCGAGTGGATCAGGCCAACAACCAAAGGGAATTGGGCACTCCAGGGCCTCAATTAATCTCAAAACCCATTGAGCAAGAACCGGGGACCCTAATTCCTTCGTCCCGAGCGCCCGGGTTTGCTTTTGGCCCGGGTTCGTCGACCCTTTTTGACCACGTAAAAGTTTGCAAAATACTAACTGTCAGGCCCGTCCAGCTGCCAATGCTGCTGTGCGTTACGCTTCTGCCAAGGCTGCCCCAACTGAGGTCTCTTCCATCTTGGAGGAGAGAATTAAGGGCGTCTCTGACGAGGCTAACTTGAACGAAACCGGTAGAGTCTTGTCTGTCGGTGACGGTATTGCCCGTGTTTTCGGTTTGAACAACGTCCAGGCTGGTGAATTGGTTGAGTTCTCTTCCGGTGTCAAGGGTTTGGCCTTGAACTTGGAGGCCGGCCAGGTCGGTATTGTGTTGTTCGGTTCTGACGCTCTTGTCAAGGAGTCCGAGCCAGTCAAGAGAACTGGTAAGATTATTGACGTCCCAGTCGGTCCTGAGTTGTTGGGTCGTGTTGTCGACGGTTTGGGTAACCCAATCGACGGCAAGGGTCCATTGAACAACAAGGAGACCAGAAAGGCTGAGGTCAAGGCCCCAGGTATCTTGCCAAGAAGATCTGTCCACGAGCCAATGCAGACTGGTATGAAGTCTGTTGACGCTTTGGTGCCAATTGGTAGAGGTCAGAGAGAGTTGATTATCGGTGACCGTCAGACTGGTAAGACCGCTGTCGCTCTTGACACCATCTTGAACCAGAAGAAGTGGAACTCCGGTAACGACGAGAAGAAGAAGTTGTACTGTGTCTACGTCGCCGTCGGTCAGAAGAGATCCACCGTCGCCCAGTTGGTCAAGACCTTGGAGGAGAGAGACGCTTTGAAATACTCCATCATTGTTGCTGCCACTGCTTCTGAGGCCGCTCCATTGCAGTACATTGCTCCCTTCACCGGTTGTACCATTGGTGAGTGGTTCAGAGACAACGGTAGACACGCTTTGATGATCTACGATGACTTGTCCAAGCAGGCTGTTGCTTACCGTCAGTTGTCTTTGTTGTTGAGACGTCCACCAGGAAGAGAGGCTTACCCAGGTGATGTTTTCTACTTGCACTCCCGTTTGTTGGAGAGAGCCGCCAAGATGTCCGAGGCCAACGGTGCCGGTTCCTTGACTGCTTTGCCTATCATTGAGACCCAGGGTGGTGATGTCTCTGCTTACATTCCAACCAACGTCATTTCCATTACTGATGGTCAGATTTTCTTGGAGGCTGAATTGTTCTACAAGGGTATCAGACCAGCTATTAACGTCGGTTTGTCCGTCTCCCGTGTCGGTTCCGCCGCTCAGGTCAAGGCCATGAAACAAGTTGCTGGTTCTTTGAAATTGTTCTTGGCTCAGTACAGAGAGGTCGCTGCCTTCGCTCAGTTCGGTTCCGACTTGGACGCTTCCACCAAGCAGACCTTGTCCAGAGGTGAGAGATTGACCCAGATCTTGAAGCAGAAGCAGTACAGCCCATTGGGTGCTGAGGAGCAGGTTCCTATCATCTACGCCGGTGTTAACGGTTACTTGGACAATGTCGATGTTTCCAGAGTCGGTGAGTTCGAGGAGGCTTTCTTGTCTTCTTTGAAGAGCAACAACCCTGAGATTCTTGACGCTATCAGGGAGAAGGGTGAGTTGTCTAAGGAGGACTTGGAGTCTTTGAAGAAGGCTACCGAGAGCTTCGCTGCTTCTTTCTAAGCGACACACTTTTCCCTGGTTAGACATGAAATGTGGTGACGTGAAAAAAGATACATTTTTATAAATCTCACAAATGAAAAGCTTTACGATGATATATATTCAATCACAAAGTATTCGATAATCTCTTTCTTGTGCCCTCCACATTTTCCGCCTAAGATCACGTGTACCAACTACATACCTCTTTGTTTTAGCGTGTTCTTCCAAGACCTAGGCCATGCCTGCAACCAAGAAAAAATATAAGAAGATAGATCTAAGCAGCGATTCGGCTTACGGCGAACGAACTGCGGATTTCAAAGTGCAGCAATACGACTATAACGATCTTCAAAGTGGAGTACTGGAAGCTGAGGCCCAACTAGAGTCTGATCTCAAGTACCTATTAGCATCTCAAGAGGACGGAACCATCTCGAGAAAAGAGCTCAATGAAGCGAGGAAACTCATCAATTCTGAAGAGAATCAAAAGCGTATCAAGCGTAGGAATCTCTTCACGAAGTTGGAGGAGATCACTGGTGATATGAATGAAATCGTGCTTTCTAGTGACGACGAGCTGGAAGCTGTTAATGAGAGGCCAGGCAGAAGCGAGAAGAAGGAGAGAAAGAAGGCTGAGCCTGCTAAGAACGACGTGAAAGCAAGTGAGCCAAAGCGAAATGGGAAGAAACAAAAATCGGTGACTCCAGATCTCGAGAGTAACCACAATGAGAAGAATGAAACGGAATCCAGTTCCTTGAGCAGGGAAAGCTCCGTACCAGCAGAGCCTGCTGCCCCTGACACGAAACCAAAGAAAAAGAGAAATAGAAAGAAGAAAAGCCCATCCGTTGAGCCTGAAGATCAGGCCAAGAATAGAGAGAAGCAAGGCCCCAAGAAGATCTCACCTGCGCAGGTATCTTCGACCATTTTACCAGAGAAAGAACCCGTCAGTACCATTATCGGTCTATCCCCGGAACAGATTGTCAACATGAAGCTCACGGATGTGAAGTTCAAGATCATCTCGACCAATCCTGGCATCCTGAAGATTTGTCGGAATGTTCTTGATTTCGTCAAAAGAGAGAGCGAGGGTCTTTTTATTGACGAAAAGCTCCGGGATAACTTTTTGGAACTCTGCGTTCATGTGGCCATGCGTGAATCCAATGGTTTCAACGACGTGAGCAAGAAATATCCAAAGCTCATGGCTCGTCTCGCAACAATGAGAGAGCTTACTCTAGAACACACTAGAACCACTATAACCGAGTCAAACAGAAAGGCACACCAGAACAACTTCGACTACACTGTGTTCTCCTACATTGGGCACATCATCATTTGGGCATCCTACCTCCAACAGAGAGCCAAGAAACCCGTTTTGCTAGAGAACTTTGGTTTCTCGAAGAAAGATGTTCTAGCCTCTATGGGCGGTTGTCACTTGTGGGACCGGATCAGGCGGGATCCTGGCACCATCAATATGAAGCGATGGAAGCATATCCAGAAGTTTCGTCAGAACTTTGCCTTTGAGGAGCACCAATTCGTCGTGATTCTTCGATTCATGCATCTTGGCACTGGTCTTTGTTGAGTGTGGTGGACCTGGAAGAAATGGCTGCAATCTCCGTATCCGGCACGCAGCGAATTAAGCGATAAACGCCATCATTATTTAGCATCATATAGCATCTTTTCCTATTCATGGGGTACGACGTAATAGTTCTTCCCAAAAGCTGGTTCTTTAAAGACGTCTTTCAGGGAAAGTTCGACACTTTAGCGGAAATTATCAACGTCGCGTATGATAAGCCCAAGAACAAGTATGGTATCATCAAGACCAGCCGGATCAAGAACCCCCAGAACTTGCCTGGAGACTTACAATACTCAGAGGATAAGGATGTCTTTTTGACGTTGTTGCTTGGATCGAAGGAGGGGTTTCTGAAGTTTGAACCAAGATCTTTTTCAGAGAACCCTTTCCTTCCGCTGCAGTATGGAAGCCACTTTGGAACCCTCTCGAGTAACAACATCAACATTCATTTGGTTGATTCAAAATTTGTGCTTGACGACGAAGTGAAGAATAGAGTTCTATCAACTGTGGGTTTCAAAACTTACAATGGATCAGACGAAGAGACAACGGTAGAATACGAAATGACTGCCTTCACATCGTTCCTTCTGGGAATTGCACCCAAACTTCTCGAGTTTGTTATCCAAAATACATTCAAAGATGTCGATACTCGCTACTTCGACTCGTCTCGAGTATCTACGGTTCACCTCCATGCTGTCGTGATTAGAGATCACGACTTAGTGCCTTACTATGAAAAATATTGCGGCTTCCACAGGTTTGGACAGCCCGATTTGACAATTACCGCCAACAATGAAGGGTCCCCATTGGAAGAGGGCATTGAGGCATCAAGAGACTTTCATTTAGCGTTTCTACGCAGAACCATAGAGCTTAAATAACGGTATAGATATTAGATGCTTTGATATCCCTGTCTTAGATTAGTGCTTCTCTATCAATGCTTTCCTGTAGAAGCTCAGAGCTTAGAAGAGTAGTCGTTCTTCTTGAGCCACTGGGCAATCACATCACCGTCACGCGTAGACCAGTTAGACTTGGCAGTGATGATATCAAGAGTCTGGGCAACACTCTGGTCGAAACCCTTGGTGTTCTTGTCCTTGAAGAATTGCTCAACCTGCTGCTTCTGCTCCTGCTTTGTGAAACCAGAGGAGGCAAGGGTCACAACAGAGCCCAACATGGAGAGACCTGGAGGCAACAACTTGTAGATAGCGTCCCAGTTCTCGGTGAACCACTTCCACAAGCGCTCAATACCCTTTCTGTGGGCTCTCATTCCCTGCATTGGGATGTAGATATCCTGGGCCTTGACAATGTCAGTCTTCATCAACAAACCAACCACCTTGTCGAGAACAGCATCATCCTCAAATCTACCGAAAGATCTCAAGGCAGCGATCTTCTCCTCGACAGACAGTGGGTTGGTGTAGATGGAGTAAAGCTGGTCAAACACCTTCTCGTCACCAAGCTTGGCGTTGATGTTGAAGATGGAGCTTCTCAAGTTAGGGTTGATGGCCTTCTTGTCACCGGCAACAAACTTCTTGAAAGACTCAACAGCGTACTCAACAACCTCCTTGTGGCCGGTAGCAGCAGCGGCACCGAACAAAGAGGACTTCAACTGCTGGTCAGCGAAGGAGTCGGAGTCAGAGAACTCGTAGCCGACCTCCTTAAGCTTCTTGGAGATCAAGTCAGCAACGAAAAGGTTGAGGGCTTCCTTGACAGACTCGTCTTCAAAGATCATGGCACCTCTGACTTGCGAGGTGGAAGTCAAGATCTGGTCCCAGACCACGTAGTTAGCCTCGTTGGACCAGGACTTCACCAAGTCCAAAAGGGCAGTGGTGCTGATGAAACCTGAGGAGGCCAAGGAGGAAGCATCGGCAACCAAACCAATACGGTCCTCCACAGTCAACTTACCGGCAACACCAGCGTTACCCAACTTGGTCCAACGCTCAGGCGAGTAAGCGGTACGGTAAATACCCGACTGGTCACCATTGACCTTGAAGAAGTCGTCAGAAGTGTTGAGGGTGATGGTCTTGTTTCTGGTCTCCAAGACAGCAGCCTCGTCGGTACCCTCAGAAGTCTTCAAGCCCAAGAACACTGGGTACAAGACCTTGTCCTCTTCAGGCTTGACATCAGCAGTAGCGAGGAATCTGTTCTGTGTGAGGGAGAGTTCGCCCTTGCCAGTCTCTTCAACATGGACAATTGGGAAACCAACGTTCTTGGTCCAGATATCCATGACCTTGACAACGTCCTTACCACTAGCCTCGCTCAATGCTTCCCACAAGTCAGTAGTCTTGGTGTTGCCCCACTTGTGCTTCTTCAAGTAGTTGGACACACCCTTGACGAAGGTCTCTTCACCCAACCAGCGGGAGATCATCTTCAACAAGGAGGAGCCCTTGGAGTAGGAGATGGCGTCGAAGATCTGGTTGATCTCGTCGGCTCTCTTGACTGGCACCTCAATTGGGTGAGAAGATCTCAAGGCGTCCAAGATCAAAGCATGCTGAAGAGAGTCAGCGACGTAAGACTCCCAGACCTTCCAGTCAGGGTATAAGGAGTCACAGGCGTACCAGGACATCCAAGTAGCGAAACCCTCATTAAGCCACAAGCCATCCCAGAAGTCCATGGTGACCAAGTTACCAAACCACTGGTGAGCCAATTCGTGCATCACCACCTCGGTGACTCTCTGCATGGTGTTGACGTTGGTGTTCTTTGGGTCCAAGAGCAAGTCGACGGTTCTGTAGGTGATAAGACCGAAGTTCTCCATGGCACCAGCACTGAAATCGTGGATGGCGACCATGTCCAACTTGGGCAATGGGTATGGAATGTCGAACTTCTTGTCGAAGAAAGCCAAGGTTTTGGCGGCAATGTCGGCAGAGTACTGACCCAAGTGCTCCAGGCCGGGAGTGGCCCAGACCTTGATAGGCTTCTCGTAGTCCTTGTTCTCCACGTACTTCAAGTCACCGACAATGAAGGCAACCAAGTAGGTGGACATCAATGGGGTGGTGTTGAAGACGGTCTTCTTCTTGTCGCCCAAGGCAACCTCCTCCTTGATGTCCATGTTGGACAAGTGGACCAATTCCTTGGCCGAGATCAAGGAGATGTCGAACTTGGCCTTCAACGCTGGCTCGTCGAAGGAGGGGAACGCTCTTCTACAGTCGGTAGGCTCCATCTGCGTGGTGGCCAAGTACCTGGTCTTGCCGTCGGCGTCGGTGTACGACGATCTGTAGAAACCTGCCATCTTGTCGTTCAAGATACCGGTGAACTTGATGTTCAAAGCGGCGGTCGAGCCGGCCTCCAAAGGTTTGGCCAAGGCAAAAGTGACCGTCTGTTTGTCCTCGTCAAAAGTCACATCCTTGACCTTCTCTCCGTCGACGTCGGCGTGCTGGACCTCAATCTCCAACAGGTTGACGGTGACGGCGTCAGACTTGTCCCTGACCTCCAAGTCGATGGTCAATTCACCATTGAAAGTGAAGGAGTCAAAGAGCGGCTCGAGAGTCAAGTCGTAGCGCAAAGGCTTGACGTTCGTGGGCAATACTTCTCTCTGGGGCGTAGAAGAACACATGTTGTTTCGAGTTGAGCAGCACCGGAGGCTCACTATTTGTGGGGCCAGGATGTGCCGTACCGAAATGCGAGAGCCATATGGTCCAGTGGCTAGGCGGTTGAGAACAGGAGCAAAAGCCGTTTTGGAGGCCGTCGTGGCGGTGGCGAATCCCGAGAGTGTTTTAGAAATTTGTAGGCCCCGGGGTGCCAATTGAAGGAACTTCATGAAGAGCCGGCTGGTTTGAAAGATTCACTTTTTCGCGTGGGCCGATGGGACCCTGCCCAGTTGAGTATTTCAGGCAGGCCAGGCTACATGGCCTACATTTCCCAGAAGACATTTACTTGAAGACATTTACTTGAAAACAATTGTTTATGGACTATTTTTTTTTGACTTCGATGGCAACGGCGTGGCACGCTCGTCGGCTTTTTCAACGGCGGTTTTCGCTTGGATGAATCGCCGTTTTGTGTACCCAGACGGCGCTGAACGGCACTATAGTCGGACGGCTGCGCGGCGCTGTCAAACTATTTTAGTTTTCCAGCCAGTGCCCATACGGCAAGCTCGGCGGCCCCAAAAGTCTAAATTGATTTTTAACGAAATTTGAGGCAACAATGAATTTTAGTTTCGGAGTTTCTCGTATAGCAGCATCTAGATCTAGTCTTGGCCGTCGAGGACTGGGCTTGGTGCAAGTCCGAAATGCTTGAGGTAACGACGGCTGCATATACAATAGGCCTGGGTCTGATAAGTGCATCGCTTGGGATGCCATTGTGGGTATAAGGGCTTGGAGGCAAGCCACTGGGAAATATGTCTTGGATAGGCCACACGGGCTGAAAACGTGGGAAGTGCTGTGGAGTTATTGGTTTAGAGGCGGGTTTTTAATTAATAGGTTTTATTGAGAGGAAGTAGATTTTTGGGTAGTGTTCATGTATTGATAGAAGTAGAGTTTGGGGAAAGGTAGGACGCCAATTAAGCTTTGTACGCTGTAAGTGGGCTAAAGTGAGGGCAGGCGCTAACTGGAGGTTTGTTTCACGACAATGGGAAGGCGCTCGTCTGTCAATTTTCTACTTTGAAATGGTTGCAAAATGCTGTGTTTCTGAGAAGAGGCATATTGATCTGACAGCTTCATTCGAGATATGCATAATCCCGGATCGATGCCTTTCAAAGAGTAGTTTCAGTATCTTCAGATGCAAAAAGTACCTCAATTGAGAGTGTACAACTACTTCTCGTCAATTGGTTCAACACTTGATAGTTCGTCGCTTTCAACACCTCTCACCTAGGCCACCCATTCACTTGAACTCCCCATCTACAACATCAACAGTGCCATTGATCACACCTACCCCGACCACGCTTCTCCTGAACAATTCTACAAAACCTAGCCAAACTAATCAGTAAATTGCATTCAATTAACGCCGTAACTACACCTTGGTCACAATCGAATCGTAAGGTTCACCAGCAGCAAGCCAGCCCTTGATACCCTCGTGCAAAATCGTCACCTTCACACGCGTATTGTGCTCTCTCGAGTAATCCTCGAGCCAACCGCCCACTTTACTGGCTCTTCTGCCAGAACTGTTACAGTGGACCACAATGAGCCTGGTTTTGGGGAATTGCTGAGCAACAGGCAACAAGACCTTCTCCTTGATTTTTTCATAACCACCGATGTCTGTGGCAGGCACGTGGAGAGACCGAGTGATGTAGCCTGGTTCTCTGTCGTTTCTCAAATCAAGAATCAAGGTCTCCTCTCCATCCTGGAGAAGTTTGAAAACCTCCTCTCTGGATGTACGAGATGGTTCATTTTTAGGATCTGGGTACTTTTCAAGCCATTCGGGCACGGAGGCGGACATGTTCTTACAAAAGTGGTGTTGATGTTCGAGTATATTATGTGCTTATGTGTGGCGGGCCTTCATGTACTCCCACCAGTCTGGGGTCTCATCACCGTTTCTCACGTGCCACCGGGCAACAGGGCCAAGGAGATCGGGATTCCCGAAGGTTTTGAAACTATGTAGGGAAAGATAACTCAATTACGGTGAAACCGTGGGTCTTCATGAGTGCTTCTGAGTCCACGTCCTCGGCTAGGCCATCTCCGACGAAACGCAATTCACAATTCCGGGTTAACCAGTTCTCTGAAGAATGTGAATTCCACTGTCGGTCTCGATTATGTCACTGAATTCGCCGACATTGAGGCCGAAAGCGGCCTGCTCAAATGCTGGTTGCATCTGACCTCTTCCAAAGAAACCGAGATCACCACCGTTGGCATGAGACGAACAGTCACTCTCAGTCTGGGCCAACTCAGATAACTTGATCTCTCCATTAAGGATTCTCTTCTGGTGACCTCTCATGATGGCAATAGCCTGGTCTCTGGAGATATCGATGCCATCAGGACTCTTCCAAGACTTTGGCTTTCTGGACGTGTTATTTTTGACAAGCAAGTGAGCTGCTCTAACTTTACCATCTCCGTTTACGAGTGGCTTGTTGCCGTTGGCCTTGAACTTCTTGATGTACTCATCAAGCTTGCTGTTATCGGTACCATATGGGGCCTCCCACGAGGACTCCTGCGTAGCCTGGTTGAGGAAGTAAGGCTCGTTGTGAGTTTTTGACACTTTGATGGACCAACTTGGGGGCAATCCTGTTTCCATTGTGGTGTTGACGAAGAAGAAGAGTTGTAGGGTGTGAGTTATGATGAATGTTCTACACCGGACAGGCACAATAGATGGATGGATCATAGGTCTTCCGTCCTATCATGTTTTAAAAAGTGGGAGATTTTGAAAAGAGGCCTACTAAGAGATGAGCTTTATTGAGTCAATTGAGCTCCGACAGACGTTTATTCTTCCCTTTGGTTCCGTCACTCTGTCTACATTTCGCAGCCATTCTTACAAATCCATCACATTGAACAATTCCAGCGTAAATTCAAACCTTCTTTGTTTTCTTCAATATAAAATAGAACTATTCTTCTTTCTTCTACCAATAAAGAAAGAATTCCAATGGGAGCGGCGTGCTTTGGTATGTGCTCTTGTTGCTATACAACTACAACTACAACACCATCGACCTCATTTCGAGACGTTCTCAAGTACATCAATCCCACCAATACTACTAAACCCTTTCTACATGTGTATCATCGCAATTTCAACGAAATTTACATTATAATATTAAACGCCAACCTTGACGTCCTATCTGACTTGTCTTTTTATCTGTAATTAGGATTCTCTCCCTCTAGTAATGCTAGTTGATGCCTCTCTTGACAAGGGCCTCCTTGACTCTGTTTCCGACAGTGTCCACGGGCTCGTCACAGCGAAGCTTCACGACCTTGCCCTGCTTGTCAAAGTAGTCAACCACAGGCATGGACGTCTCGACAAAGGTTCTGAATCTCTTCTTGATACTCTCAATGTTGTCATCAGCTCTGCCAGAGGTCTTGCCTCTCTCCAAAAGTCTGTCGAGCATGACCTGCTCGGGACACTCAAAGAAAAGGGTGAACGCAGACTTGACGATTTCGTCCTCAAAGGTCAACGCCTGGTCCATCTTTCTTGGGAAACCGTCCACCAAGAACTTGTTCTTGCCCTTGGCCACGTTGTCAGCAACAGCGTTTCTCAACAAACGCACGGTCACCTCCTGAGGCACAATCGTGCCTTCTTTGATGCACTGAGCGATCAAGGCTCCATCCAGAGAACCCTCTCTGACCTGCTCAGCTCTCAAGAGATCTCCAGCAGACAAGTGCACGAAACCTTTCTCGTTAACGAGCTTACCACACTGGGTACCTTTTCCAGAACCAGGACCTCCTAAAACGAAAATCACAGACACGTCCTTGTCGCTGAAAGCTGGACCTTTCTTTGGCTCTGGGGCCAGCTTTGGTTCGTGCTTGGTGTAAACAGAAGCCAAGACGGTAGAACCAACAGCAAGAATGCCTAGAGCACCAAGAACGTAGCCCTTGGAAAATGGAGACTTCTTCTGTTCCTTGGAGTCCTTCTGATCATTGGAGTTCTGGTTGGACTTTTCCTCGCTCTTCTTTTTATCTGAGCTGGGGAATTTGGAGTAGGCTCTAAGACCAATAGGAGCCTTCAATAGCTGACCTCTGGGGGCCTTTAGACTGGCAGTTCTGAGCGATCTGGTGAACATCGGTGAAAAAAAGTTCTCCAGGTTTTGAGAAGATAGGTGTTTTGGCGCGAGATAGTCGTGTATTACCGACGTACTCGGCAGCTTTGGCTGCGAAAAGAGTAGGATCTGATCAACTGTGAAGAGGGGAGGTATGATTTTTTGATCTGAGTTATCAAAATTACGGTATCTGTTTTTGATCGTTTGGGGGTGATTATGTTTGGTGATTGAGGTATGTTTAGATGGCGGTACGGTCGACTCTGGAGAATGCTGCAAGATAAGCTTCTATATCTGTATCTAGGTTTTGAGCTTTCAACAGCCTGGTGAGGAATAAGTACAGATACATATATACTGGCTGAATTTTTGAAGGCGCTTACAATCCATTACATTCAAAGCTCAATTAAACCTGCAGTAGTCGTCAATTGTGTAGATCTCAATTTGAACTGAAGGCTAACCGTCCTTCTACACCAAAAGACAGTATATCTTCAATGCCCATCAAACCAAAGCTCCAAAAACACCCCACAATTAATCCATCACCGGTCATCTATTTGTCTATTCACAGAAACTCCTTGAGAGCATCCTGGCCGATTCTGTAGTAGCCACCGTTGAGGTCCAGACCCCAACCCTTGACAGCCAAGTTAACGAGCAAACTGGCAGGCACCTCAGCAGGCAACAATCCCTTATTTTTGTGCAAATCAATGAACTTTTGCAAGCTCTCAGGCGTCATGTTGGCACCGAACTTTTCACGAATGTCCTCTTGCATGTTGGTATCCACCACACCTGGGGCAATTGAGATGGCATTGACCTCCTTATCCTCAGCAACCAAGGTCTGGATGAGATGGTTCAAGGCAGATTTGGAAGCACCGTAGGCACCCCAACCATAGTATGAACTGGTCAGAGCTCCAGACAGCACGGCGACAAAACGACCCTTCGACTTCTTGAGGTGAGGCAATGTCTTTGTGGCAAGGTCCACCACCGAAAAGAAGTTGATATCGAACAATTTCTTCCACTTGGCAACGTCAGCCTTGGCCACAGTGTCGACTGGATCAAGCACACCGGCATTAGCGACAACCGAGTCAATTGAGCCAAATTCGAGAGCTTTTTCGACGGCTTCCAGGACAACCTTTTCGTCCGTGATGTCGCCTGCCACAGTCTTGACTCTATCGCCATACTTCTCCTTTAAATCATTCAAAGCCAGCTCGGATCTAGCGATTGCTACAAGATTGTGGGAAGGCGATTTGGCAAGGTAAATCTCGGCTACGGCAGCACCAATACCTGTTGTTAGCAGAGAATTCCAATATTTTAGTCTGAATGCATACCTCTAGAGGCACCGGTCAAAATCATAGTTTGGGTCATGGCTGGTATTGAAGAGTAATAAAGCGAGTACTAAGTGTTGCCAGGTGCTGCACGTGACTGAAACAGGACTTTCCGTTTTCGTTGCCAACGGGGACTTTTCCAATAAAGGTGACTGAATATTCGTGAAAATTAGCCCAGTTTGTATAATTATAGTCCCCTTCATTATTGTCCACCCCACGTTCATCACAACATTCGTGGCCCCCACATCAAGACATACCGCACCAACCAAAAACACAATCACCAGTCCCTAAGGCTTCTACAATCCAGGCCGGCTCTATCAGTGCACTACCGCCGCTCAGCTTCAAGTGAGAGCAAACTCAGGCCTGGGCCAGTATGAACATTAACCCGGACTCAGCCAAGGAAATCCCTTGTAAGAACGTTACCATCTACGGGTTTTGCAAATACGAGAAGAAAGGTTGTGTGTTTAGCCACGACAACTCCACTCCGGGCTCTCTGAAGACTTTAACACCAAAGGCGTCGTCCTCAAAGCTTAATACTGCCGATTCTCAAAGTATGGCTCGGAACAACGGAGCTGCTGGGGAATCTACCTCCAAGAAGAAGTTCAACGCCAGCACACCTTCATTCCAGCCGTCGGTGCAGAGCATCACCAATAAGTTCTCGTCGTTGTCGCCCAAATTGAAAGACCTCCCGCTGTTTGTGCCTGCTGGTCTCGAAAAAGAAGACACGGTTTCCACCCCGACGCAAACGAAGAAGTTCAATGCCTCCACCCCTTCTTTCACCCCATCGTACGAAAGCTCGAACCATTTCAATAATTCTGCGTTGGGAAGCGACACGCTGCAGCTGGTGTTTTCGCCGCTGATCCATGCTCAGCCGTCGATGTTGGGAGGCTCTGGAATATCTGGCCAGCAACAACTGCAAACACAGCAGAATCCGTATCTCGCAGGTCCCACCCCACCTCCTCTTGGGGGAATGGGTAGTATGGGCTCGAGCCAGGCTTCTGACTTCATGTTTTCAGGCGGCCAGTCATCATCAACCTACACCCTCAACAATCACTTGTATGCCCCAGCGCCACCTCCTCGGTTGGCGATGTCCTTGAACGACCACCAAACTAATGTTAATGACATGTTTATCCCCAACAACTTGCGAGAAGAGCTCATGAAGAAGAACGAAGCCACATTACAGACCCTTCCTCTGCTGACATTACCGGACCATGTTGGCGAGTACCACTCGTTGGTGCCAATGGACGTAACCTTTACCCAGCCTTCAAAGATTTACGACTTGCCAAGCTATGTCTATAAAGCTACATCAAACGTGAATGGTCTCCCGTATGCTATACGCCGCATAGACTTCAACAGCAAGGCACAGTTCTCGCAGGAAATCGACCTTCGCCCCTTCGTGAAATGGAAAAAGATCAAGAACCCAAATGTGGCTCGTGTGCTTGACGCTTTCACTACGGTTGCCTTTGGCACTTACGAGCCCGTTTTGAGTGTGGTTTACGATTATTTCCCGCTCGCCAACACTTTACAGGAACAACATATCACCAGAAAGCTAGGAAGCAAACTAGAACCCGTCACGGAAGACACCCTCTGGTCTTACTTCACCCAGATCACCAACGCACTCATTCACATCCACACTCATACATTAACGGCAGGGTCGTCCTTGTCATTATCGAAGATTTTGGTCACCAACAAAGGCAGGATAAGACTTGCAGCTGTTGGTATAGATGACGTTATAAACACTGAAGAAGAGATTGCATTCGAGCAGGCTCAGCAGAAGGATTATGAACTCTTCAAACAGACTATACTTGAGCTAGTGAAGACCACTGTACCTCAGAGTTGGCGCCAGGATAATTACGATACAGTTGTCTCGAAGTTGTCGAGTTTATCTACAGTGAATTACAGTGAGGATTTTATTGAAGCACTAAAGGCTTTCTCCAAGCTTGGTGAAGTGTCCTTGAAAGACTTCTTCAGTAAGCACCTCGCGCTTCGGTCGCTCAGGGTACTCAGCGGCTTTGAGGATCTGGCCGACTACATGGAGAGCCAGCTCACCTCCGAGATAGAGAACGGCCGTCTTTTCCGTTTGATGGCCAAGCTCGACTTGTTGGTGAATTTATCAGAGAAAGACAAGGCCGACAATGGCAGCTTTTACGTTATAAAACTCTTCCACCAGTTTGTGTTCAACTCGTACGACGAGTTTGGCAAACCCGTGGTGGATCTTTCCAGAATACTTGTCAACTTGAACAAGCTAGATGCGGGAGTTGACGAGAAGATCTTGCTCATATCTGCCGAGGAAGACAGCTGTATTATAGTGAGTTACAAGGAGGTGAAGAACATTATAGAGCTGACGTTCAGAGGGGTTTTCCGCTAGAGGCGAGAACCGGCGAAAAACAGAAAAGATAAAAAAAAAAAACAAAAAAACTAACATAACACGAATAAAGAAATAAGCTATATAGTGTAGATTGGTCTAGGTCGTTGAAATAGGGGTAATTGAAAAGAAGCTTCTACAGCCGATATCATGAACAGATATGGCTAAATCAAGGTAAACTTTCGTATTGGAGCCACTTCCCCAGGGTCCATTTCTGGATTGCCTTCGATGTCTAGATCACCTTTTGTGTCCAGATTGCCATCGATGCGTACTGGCTATCTGGAGCATCACAAAAGCCGTGTGGACCAAAAAATGACATATTTTGACTCATAGGCAAAAAGCGTCATATTACGATGTCTTCCTATTTTGATGAAATTACGCCTGACTGATGACAAGGTAGTTTGCCAAGGTGGTGCCACACCGGTTCTACGGCTGCAACTCGCAATCAGTCATAGCGATCTGGCAAAAGAAATTCACCAATTCCAGGCAAAACGCCGATGCCGGGACGCCAAAGACCCCTAAAAAAATTTAGGCAGAATTCACATCCAAACTTTTTTTCAAAAACCACTTTCACTAATTCCAAAGAACTTTTGTGGTTTCTGAGTCATACCGAAAACGGCCCGGTCCGACGCACGGAACACCGCTGGAAGCGCCCACTTGACCCTGATAAGCATGGAAAAATGTAACCTACGATTCAGTCACCCCAGTGTCGCAGTGACTGCACCGCACGTGACCATGACTAACTCTGTGAGTAATCTTCCGCGCATCCCACTATATAAACCGCTCGGTGCCACAGCTTCAACCGATACGGGTTTCACGGCTCAACACAAAACACAATCCAAAACACAACAGCTTTCCAAGAAAACAACATCTTTTTATTATCCTTTTTTTAAAAAAACACACAGCAGCTTTTTGTTCCATAGAATAGCTGTCTTACGAATTACGCATTTTGGTTTAGATATCGGTTAGTTCAGCTGCTGGTCACTGACAGGTTGGTTTACGGTATAGGTTGCATGGCAAGTTGCAAACAGGCATAGATTTTTGACTTTTTTTTTCCACATTTACGTTTTATTTTCATTTACTGCACGCTCAAGATGGTTAAGATTATCATTTCCTTGCAATAGACGCTGTCGTTGCAGGAAAGAATTACGAAATGTTATCATCGAGAGCGACCCCGGAGAGTTCTGTCTCCCCTTACGCTAAGCGTGAAACCCCCTCCACCCCTCCATCGGAGAGCTTTGCTCCCAACAACTCCAAATATTACAATGACCACCTCAACAAGTCGCAGTTCAACCTCATTCTTACGAACTGCGCTGTTAACTTGATGAAGATGCTTTACCCGGCCTCTGTTGTCCAGGTGGATGACGTCAAGCTCAGATTCTTCATCATCGAGATCTTGCGGAGATCCAAGGCTCTGACTCAGACTTTGCAGATTTGCTGTTTTTACATGTACAAGCTTATCAACAAGAAGCCCGAGGAGTTGCCCAATTGCCCCAAAAAGTTGTTCTTGGCTTTGATCATCCTTCTGTCCAAGTTCAACCAGGACCACAACTACTCCTTTAAACTGTGGCTCAAGATCTGTGGGTGCAAAGGAACGGACGACTCGAGCTTGAATCTCCAGAAATTGCGTCAGACGGAAACACAATGTCTCCAGCTTCTCAACTACGACCTCTACATCAACGGGGCTAAGTACGAGAACTGGTGCAATGTGCTTTTGATTTTTGGCTACGACTTTATTCTGATGCATCATGTGCATCTGGGAATGCTTAACTGGTGTAGCGAAGCCGACAATCAAAAGAAGCTTTTCCGTTGGACCCTGTTCTTACACAAAATGGACGAGCGCCGCCTTGGAAAAGTGAGTGTGAACTTCAAACACTATTATGCTGGCCAGGTGGGCACTAAAGTTGTCACCAGCGATGTTAAGCCTAATTCGCTCTTTGGCAAGCGTTCCTTAGACGACGCTGCTCCTTCTATTAAAAGAGTCTGCTCCTAAGCGTTTTTACATCAAAAGCGTTTTCACATGAAAATATGTCAAGCTGCATCGCGAGATAAGCTTTTTGAGTAATTGTATAGAATAGGTCAGACCCTGGAATGGGCTCCTCTGACGTAATCGAGGGATTTACATCAGCGCACGCACATCTGTAACATTTTTTTTTTTTTTTTTTTTTTTCCCTCGCCTGAGGGATAATAGAACCCTGTGGCTCGGCTAAGTTTAGCAAGCAAGCCTTTCCGCAGGTCTTGATAACAACAAAACCAGCTGCGCTTGTGCTCAATGGGGGCGAACTAAAAAAGCAACAAGGAAGCTTGGACAGGAAAAACAACCAGTTACAAAGTAAGTCAAGATTTTTGTCCGAAACGAACACAAAACAAGTACAGATAAGCGCCTAGTGGCTGCGGCGAACAAGTAGCATTGTTCCCTCAAGGCGGGAGCAGACCATTGTGTGAGTGGAATTGAAGATGCTTAGCACCCGGTCTCGGCCGATGGACCTACGAGGTATGGAAACTAGCGTTATGGAAATTATTGTACTGATTTATACATTCAACCTACCAGTACTAAACAATACCGAATGAGCCGGCCACCGGCGAGATTCGAAAACAAACAAGGCAGCAAGAGCCACCAGCAATGAGTGCGCAGGTAGGATTAAGCTCCCGGCTTAGGCAGAGGTGGGCACAGCAATGTTAGTCTGCTCGGCGGCACCGTTAATCGTCTTCTTGACCTCGGCAACACCGTTGCTCACGACATCGTCAGCCTTCTTTTGGGTCTGCAGCGCAACATCGGTCACGTAGCTCTGCGTAGTGGACTTCAATGGCTGGATGTAGTCGGAGTTCACGCTCTTCAACAACTTGACACCAGTGTTGACAGAAGCGGAGGCAACCTTGACGTAGTAGTTCTTCTCCTTGGACGAGTCAAACTCCTTGTTGTAGGTGCTGAGCACAGTGTTGGAGATGTCCTGGGACTTGGTGGACAACAAGTCCTTGGAGCGAGAGTAGGTATCGTTGACAATCTCAATGGACTTGGAGATTTCGTTTTCAGCCTGCTTCTCCTTCTTCTCGGCCTTCTTAGCGGCGTTCTTCACCTTGGGCAACACCTTGTCCACAGTAGAGGAAGCGTAGTCATTGACAGGCTTGAGGTACACGCCAACAGCGTCCTCGCCCTTCTTCTTGTAAGCGGAAAGAGTGTCCTCACCCTTCTTCTTGTAAGAGATGGCCAAGTCCTCGCCCTGCTTGGCCTTCTGAGAAGCCACAGCCAATGCCTTATCAAAGTTGCCCAAAACGACACCATCAAGGGTCTCGTCAGCGAAGCTCAATTGACGCACAACAAAGGGGAAACGGGAGATGACCTGGTCATTGAAGTAGTTGCTCAAGGCAATCACGTAGGTGGTGACAGCCTGAACAAGCTGAAAGCTCAAGAGGTAGCTTTGCAACTTCTTGACAACGGAGTAGGACTCCAAGTGAGCCTTGGTCTTTGAGGTGAAGGCTTTCGACATGCTAATAAATAGAAAAGATGGAAAAAATGTGGTGTGAAAAATTTCACAAACGTGGCTGGGGATGCGACCTTATATAGTGAGAGCCTTGGCCCGTTCCACATTTATTTTTCCCCTGGAGAGTCTATCTGTACCCTTGCCAAAAAGGACATGCAGCGACCATGCGACCCCCGAGACGTCTGCCTGCAGTACGTACAGATTGAGGCAGAGATGGCGCGCCCTGCGATGGCGAGCATGTGAAAGTTGCTCTTTTGTCGCTCGCCGTGTTGTGCCTAAACAAGCTTCAAAGGGACGCTTTTTCAAAACCTAAAAACACAAAATTGCCCTTGAAGAGTCTTTAAACACCGTGGATCGGTTTTTATTGGCTCATATCGCTGCGGTGACAACATTTTACGGAAGATCTTACCGTTGAACCCTCGGGCAGGCGCGGCGTAATGGTTGCAAAATCTCCCGAGAAGCTCCGCATATAGATGGAACAAAAATGCATGAGGCGCTGACATTTTCAGGTGAGAAAAAACAAAGCGAGATGTATTCTAAACTAAGCAGTGGACTTCCATATGCCTGGCGGCATTTTTCAAAACCGTGTCCAAAAATATAGTCATCACACTAGCGACAAGGGGGCCCCCTTGGACTTGCTGAAACGGCTCAGTCGCCCGACTACCGAATATTATTTTACTGTAAATCGGATTATCTACGACATGGCGATTTGGCTTTTCCTTGTCCTGGTATGTGGCAATCTGTGCGCCACATGGCCTGATGATCGCCTGCCGAGGACCGATGCATCGGTCTGACGCTAGATCCTCTCGGACACTGGGACCACCTCGCTGGTTGCGAACGTGATAATTCGCTAACTTTTTCGTAAACATGCATTGTCCATGTACCACAGACCCTCAGTGCTTGGCTCGGAACCATGCCACATCGCCATAGCTCTTCTTCTGCTTCACTTTCTTCTTTACTGCTGCTTGCACTCTGGTGGGTTCTCCTTAGGGCCAGTCTCGTCAATGCCCTCTTCCTCCTCCTCATCGCTGTCAGCCTCACTGTCGAACTCATCCTCATCTTCCTCGCCGTCTTCAAGATCTTCAGGGAATCCATAGTCAACAGCGTCGCCTGTGAACCAGTCCACGGCACGAGGAATCAAACGGTCCTTGATTTCCTCACCCAACTGGTAGTCCAACTCGAGACGCGCCTCCAAGTCAGCCTCCTGCTCCTCGTCCTCCTCTTCTTCCTCATCCAGCTCCTCGGCCTTTGGTGGCTTAGGTGGGTCGAAGAAGTTGAAAAACGACTCTGTGGGTGTCAACTTCTCAATGGTTCTCGTCTGCTTGGTGTTCTTGTTACGCTGCTTTCTTCTCTCAATGTTGATCGTGACATTGTTCTCCTTGGACTTCCAGTTGATCTCACAGCCGTCGGCGTGGTCATACACAAAGTCACCAGAGTAACCCAATTCAGCCTGGTAATGATAGGTCTTTGTCAACACCTGGTTGCTAAAGAAAGAGTTCTGGTCAAACTCAAAGATCAACTCAAAGCCGGGCGTCTCCAAGTACTCCATACGGATGTCCTTCAAGTGCAGCAAGACTTCGCTGTCTCTCTCGGTGATAGTCTCGCTGACGGTGGTCAAGTTCTCCAAAGCCGTCAACCAGAAGTTAGGGATACCCTTGGTGTCGTCTTCGGCATCCTCCTCCTCTTCTTCTTCCTCCTCATCCTCTTCCTTCTCCTCCAAGGACTCACCCACCTCAACCTCATCGGCAGTGGGTTCCTGGACACCGTTGATGATGTCCTTTCTTCTCTCGTACAATGGCTCGTACTTCTTGAAGTATTTCTTCTCCAACTCTAACAAGTCTCTCTGGAACTCGGCCTCCAACTTCATTTGCTGCAGCTGGACTGCCTTCAAACCCATGACACGCTTCTTAACAACAGCAGGCAATCCTTCAATGTACCCGCTCTGCTGACCCACAAGCGAGCCGAGCTTGCCCTGGATCATCAGCAAAAGTGCAGGGTTGTTAGCTAATTGTTTGCTCAAGTTGTTCTCATCCTCTTCGCTAATGGTAGAGACGGATGGTGGCTGCTGCTTCAAATATGAGTTAGCCACGCTCGATGGAGTATTCTGCGGGGTTGGTGCTTTGGAGATATCTCCCTGTTTTCTGATACCCGACATTCTTTGATGTTTTGGTGGCGATTGGGTAGGAAGAGATTAGATGTTGGTCCCAGATCGCCAAAATTAAAGAAATTGATGAATGGCGCACCGGTCACGTGTCCACAGCCGCCCTGCTACGAAATACACCTCATTAAACTACGCGTCCCATCGGCACCGGTTTCTGCGTATAACCGTAAAAATTCATGGATTCTAAATCTCAAATGACGCAGATGCCGTCATTGCTGTACTAGCTGCCTCCTCGATATCGTCGTACTTACCGTCCAAGTACTTCTCGATATCGGCCTTTCTCTTTTCCCACTCCTCGACCTGAGCCAATTTAGATTCGATATCTTTAATCTCATTGTCGATGGTCTTTAAGTTTTCCTCAGAGGTCAAGTCGTGGAAGATCCACTTGTCTGGCTCACCCTTCTCGTTCTTGATTTCCAAGATGAAATCGTGGTACTTCATCAAGAGCGGTCTGTGGGAGAGGGTAATAAACGTGATCTTCTTTCTCTGCAACAATTCAAACAAGTAGTCCTCAACATCAGTTGAAACAGCATTGGTGGACTCATCCAAAACCACAAACTTGGGGTTCTTGAACAACACACGAGCAATGCTCATTCTCTGCTTCTCACCACCACTGAAGACATCCTTCCAGTCCTTCTTGACGTTGAAGTTGCCCTCTCTCGTCAACAAGTAGTCCAACTTAACTTCACGCAAAATGTGGTACAAGTGGTCATCATTGTAGCCCATTTCGAGCATATCGTCATAAGAAGATGGGTAGATAATCTGGTCTCTCAAGTTACCGTTGGTGAAGTAAGTCTTCTGAGGCAAGTAGAAAATCTCATCGTCGCTAGGCTTCGACATCAAACCGTAGTACAATGGCCACAAGCCAGCCATGATACGGGCGATAGAGGTCTTACCGCAACCGTTGGAGCCCAAAACCAAAAGGTTCTTGTGGGCCAGGATGTGAACGTTAAGGTTGTCAATAAGTTTGGTACCCTCGCTACCGTCACTGCCAGGAATGATCACAGGGAAGTGCTCAAAACGAACACCACCGCTGTAGTTGTGTTGAATAGTACCGTGGATGTCAGCAATGCCATATCTGGAGCCAAAGTCGAACTTAGGGGAGTGAGCCTTATGCAACTCAGTAAGCAACTTGAAAACTCTGTCGGTGTAACCTGTGAGCTCAGAAATATCCTTGAGAGAGTACATCAATCTCGAGCCGGCATCAGCCAACGACAACATCAATCTCTTGTTGATGATGAATTGTCTCATGTTACCCTTGTCGTCAACCTTGCTCTTGCTTGTTGGAGCGGGAGCGGATTCGCCCTCATCAACGTGCTGCTGTGCCTTTGGCCACAAGTCCTCCAAGAAGACTGGCAAACCTGCAAAGACGTAACCCCAGGCAGACCAAGTGTATTTCAAGACATAGTCTTCAAGGATGGAGTACCAGAAGGAAATGTTGATTTCCTTGGAGACATGTCCCATCAAACCTTCGAAGGTTTCCTTCAACTTGGCCTTCTCAATGATGGAACCCTTGTAGAAACCAATCTCTTCCGAGTTGGTGATGAGGTTCAAGTGCTCGTTATAGTAACGACCCTCCAAATGGGTCCTCTGGGCCGATAACTTACCAAAGGATGGGGTATACTGTTTCAAGAGGAATGCCGTGGCAAAGTAATTGGCAAAGATACCAACAATAGCACCGGTTCCCAAGTTGTCTCTCAAGTAGACCGAGAAGAAAAATAAGTCAATGAGGGGCTTACCCATACTGGAAAACAAGCCACAGATGGAGTCACAGAACTTGGAAATATCGTTCGTGATGTACTGGTCGATGTTTTCGAGATCGCTTTGACTAAGCGAGATCTTGTAGTAGGTCATGACCTTGTCCAAGTACATGTCGTGGATGTATCTGATCAAGTTTGTTCTGAAACTCAACGACAAGCGGTTGGTCAAATATTTGATGGCAGCATTTGTGTAGGAGGCTGGGAAGGCGATCAAGATCCAGTAGATCAAGTCACGCACGAACTTCTTGCCGTTGGCCGAAATCAAGTTCTTGACGATCTGACCGTCCAACTTGGCAATGATCAAGGACAACCACGTACGCAAGATCAAGAAGAAGCACTGAGAAAGCAATAAATAGGTGTTCTTTGAGTAGAACCGTGGGATGAGAATACGCCAGATGATGATGATCTGGTTCAAGAATTTCAGGTTGAAGATGTTATTCTGCTGTTTCAAACGCTGATCAATGTAGAAATTCTTGTAAAGATACTTGTCAGCAGCGTATCTGTCCAAACTTGGCTTGGGGATGATGATTCTGGTGGAGGAGTTCTTTCCCTTGGGCACAAAGATCTCCCTGGCGCCATTCTTCAAAATCGTGGACAGCTGGCGGATCAAGCGGGGTCTATTCTGAGATCTCTTGTAAGCGTACTCATTATACCTCAAGATCAACGACTTGATGGTAAAGAAAGCCCCCACGCCAAACGTAGCAATGAGCGTGCCGAAGAAAAGAACAACAGGTCTGCTCTGGTAGTTGATGGTGACCTTATTGTCCTTATAGACTAGCACAAACTCCTTTATTATAAGGAGGAACTTGCGCACGTCCTCCCGGTTGTAACTAGAAAGACGAGATATGTGAACCATGGCGACAACCTTGAAAAAACAGTGGTTGTTTCAAGCGGTGTACCAAGCAAAAGTCTCCCCACAGTACAGATGCCGAGGGTAGGTGGGGTGGTGTGTGCAAGCCTGGGCACGACTGGGGTAGTCACGTGGGGAGTCCAAGCCCTGGTTTTTTTGCAATGTTTCCAATGAAATTGGCTGGATTAGTTTACGTTTTTTTCATTGTTTTAAGATCTAAACCAATGCTCTGATT